ATGGCTTGTTAATTTAGTATCTTTGGATTTAAATAATATTTCACAAAAGATAGTGCTATTTTGAAAGTGATTCATAGCAATCAACGATTGGGTTTTGATTGCACTAGGAATAGTGTCACTGTACGGGATAAAAAGCCGCAGACGAAAAGCTTTCAGCGTCGCAATCATTGACTTGGTGTTTTGGAAATACGCAAACACTGCTAATATCGATGTTGTCTAGACTAAACTTTGATAGCGACTACAATTTACAATTGACCTATGACAACAAGACCAAAAGTGCCCGCTTATACATACAAGTACAACATTCGGGCCTATACATGCCCTAATACGTGAGGGAAACTGGTGCTCAATTTGTTTTGCCACACCCTGTATTTATGTTTACGCTTTGTTTTAATGCGAATTGGAGTAAACAAACCTCATATAAATCACTCTTTTTAAGTTTGTTGCAAGTGTTTAATTCCTTAAGATTTAGCGAAGCTCTTATTAAAAATACATAGTATATAAATAAACTAAATCACATGTTTAATATGTATACAATTTTGTGTTTTGAAAACACAACAATACATATTGAGTAATGTAAATTTTAATTAAAACTATTAACTTGGAAATGTTGCATTTAACATTTGTTGGTTAAAGTGTTCGGGATTAATAAAAGGTTTCAGAGAGTATTATTACAAAATCTATCATTACTAAAAATACCGGTCCGAAACATAAACTATAACATACCATGAACCTAGTAAAAACTAAGGTCAAAATTACCTACTGTTGACCCTAAAACTGTACTATCTATATGCAAGTATGTTCAATCGATGATATTAAAAAACACAAAGATATTCAGATTTGTTATTTTGCAACTGTTTGAATCTTACTGAAATAACACGATTGAGTTCCGTATACAAAGGTATATTGAATGACCCTGTAACTAAACCTCATTTGCATTATAAAGTTACTATGATCAGTATCCTGAATTTAAAATTAATTTTAGCTTACTCAGGTTGATTGAACTTTTGTACCCGATAAAAAAATAATATTCTGAATTTGAAATAGTTGAACCCTTTATTGATGTGATGCAAAGTTTTATGCAACACAAGAGGAGTAGGGACTTTAATTCCCGAGGGTAGAAAAGAATTGAAGTTGAGGTAAAACAGACAAAACAAAGTCATCGGTCTCCACCATTGGTGCCAACGTCCTGGGACGAGAAGCTATTTGTTGAATCGTTTCCATAATTCTTCCACACTCAATCTATGTGACCTACAAAATATTTTCTTCTACTTGCTGAGTTTAAATGAAATCTAAAAACTTGGTTGCAGTTTCTTTGTGTGTTTTAGGCCATTAGACTTTTTGTGTTTTTTGTAAGTTGCTCCCAATCCTGTCGAATTTTTATAGCACAATTTTGTTTTGTTTTAGAGGTTAGAGGTCTCTTCACCTTGCATTTACTTGTCCACATGGGTGAGCCGGTACAATAGCAGGGTGAACTGTACTGATAATCAGTAGTGACAGGTACCAGGATACGAACCCACGACATCGCTGCCTTGGATCCGGAGTCCCTGGTGCCGCCGACTAGGACACCGACTCATCAACCCACCATTTAACTCATGCCACAATTGACAAAAAATATTCGGGTCTGGAATTGACCCAGCTTCTAATCAAACCAGCAGCCACCAGGCTTAAAGGTCATCCGATATGGTGTAATGTTACTCGGCTACCCAATAAAATAAGTTTTTCTTTCGAAATTAACTAAAACTAAAATAACCCAATGTATTAACCTTATCTCTGTTGTGCGACAATACCCTATACGTTTACCTTTACAAAGTATTTAGGCTTACAGTACATTTCATGTTTATGTAAATTATGGTAGTGAAATTCTTAGAGCTGTTTTCCTAAATTACTGCTGTTTTTTCATCAAATGGTAACAACTCTGAGCTGACTATCTGGATTATCTAACTTCAATCGGTTTAATACTTCAAGTCAGCAACTCACATCACATCTAGCTGTGTTTCTGACTCTGACTAGCTGTTTCTTAGCCAGAGCTTTATTAAAAGACCCATAATCCAGGACAGCTGGGTCCAGTTTCCAATTCATCACAAAAGACTGGATCCATCACAAAAGTATATTTCATCACTAGTATTCAAGGCTTAAAGTGGCTCTTTTTCTGAAAAGACATTTTTGCCCGTGTGATGAACTATATTTTTCATTATATTTAATGATTAATTAATTAACAGACTAAGCTATGAAATGGAAAATATTTTTCTATAGAACACCTCTCAAAACAACTTCTGGCTTTTTTCAATTCTGCTAATGTAAATAAGCAGTTTATTAGCAAATGAGCCAATAACTTCGTCTATTACGATTGTGTTACTGTACATTATCCCATCGATCAATGCGATTGCAGCAATCGATTTTTACAACTGTAACATCAGCAGACTCCCTAGAGAGAGAGTAAAAATGCTACTTATTTAGACCCGTAACGCATGTATAAAACCCGCTGTTTTTACTTTTAAAACCCAAACTTTTACCGAACTTCTCTATAGGAAAGTAGGTATCACCGTGATATACTTTTTCATTTTTAAATTCCTAGTGGCCAAAATACATTTCGTTCAAAATCTTTATATTTGTAGCCTATATACATGTGTCCGTAAACTCGTGATAGCATGAGAAATTTGAGTCCAATTTTGATGAAATTTGGCTTGAAGATGTAGGGCAGGATAATCTTAAATGGTTAGAAAAACAGCATGATCGGACCATGGGAATGGGGTTTTATGGGGTAAAAATGAAATGTTCTCATTTTTGACGTCCAAAAAATGCAATTTCTCGATTTTTCAAGCTCAGTTATTTGATTTCCGAGGAGAGAACCAAAGTATCATGTTGCTATAGTAGTGCCATCACGTATGGTGATAGTCAAGAAGTTATCAAATTAGGTTAACGCGTAGAATAAATTAATATTAAATCCATAGAAATCCACAGCTTCTTTCATGTTATTTACTTCACTTTCATCGCATTTCAACCAGAGGTGACGAAAAACAAAATCTTCAGTTGTGACACGAGGGCGGTTTATTAGGACACACATAAACTGTTGAAAGCGGCAAATACCGACTGCTGATATCGAAATTCAATACTTGAGCGAAACTCTTCGTCGGCGCTTTCAAGCGGTTCTACGATTTTATTAATTTTACTCGACACTCGTCGCAGCATTGAACAGATTTGAACTTTATTGTAACAAATTTCTGATGCTTTATTTCAGGATGGGAATAATACTGACAATTTTATTTATCAATCAAATGGAGCCTAATTATTAGAGCATGACTAATTGTTGTGTTGGTGGAGTAATACATTTCCCAAAAAATAAAACCATAAAATAACCCATTTTTTGTACAGTTCATTACACGAACCGAATGTGTATTTTCGACCATCGTTAATTTAAAAGCACACTTGTTTAGAAAAGTGATGAAATATACTATTGTTTTATGTTCCTTGTGCGAAAAATTCCTCTTATAGTAGTCGTAAAATGTCATGCTTTAAGCACTCGCGTTGTCGGATGAAATACGATATACAGGGTGATTGATATAAGTGTGCCAGCCGTTTTATTCGAAAACCATAAGAGATATCAAAAAAAGTTAAATGGTAAGTGCCTTGGACTTTTTATTAAAAACATTTTAGTAAAGACGAAACAAATATTTTAGCACCCATTTTTCCAATATGGCCGCCAACTTTGATTTTTCTTATGGAACACCCTGTATTTTATGATGTATTCTGGTAGAAAATGTAATTTTAAGACGATTGTATTCTTGTGATTTTTTTCATAAACCTAACCGTTTCAAAGATAATAATGGTTTAAGTTGTGAAATTTTGAATGGTTTTCAAATAATATGCTTGCTTACGCCTTTATCGAAACTCTTTCTCATGCAGAAATTTCAAAACTTTAACCATTATTATCTTTGAAACGGTTAGGTTTATGAAAAAAATCACAAGAATAAAATCGTCTTAAAATTACATTTTCTACCAGAATACATCATAAAATACAGGGTGTTCCATAAGAAAAATTTAAGTTGGTGGCCATATTGGAAAAATGGTGGCTAAAATAATTTTTTTGACTTGACTACAATTTTCTAAATAAAAAATCCAAGGCACTTACCGTTTAAATTTTTTTGATATCTCTTATAGTTTTCGAATAAAACGGCTGGCACACTTATATCAATCACCCTGTATACACATATTTACCTATGAGAACATAAATTCAATATCACAAATGCAGCAGTAAGGCTATTAAAATGAAACATCCTCACACCAATCCTTTAAGGTAACATTGTATCGAGTGGGAAATTAGTTAGAAACAGGTTATAATATACTAAAATGTAATTACGTATTATGCTTACCATTAGAGTACACATTCCAGAATCTAATTTGGATAAAAGGGAGGAGATAGCAGTGTATATTTTAGGCGCTGGGTTGTTTGCTTAAGTGTTTGCTTCGACCAATGTCAGTTTATTTGTTGTTTGTTTTACATGGCAAACGTTGTTAAGCTCGCTCAAAGGGGATTTTTGCGACATGTTTCAGCGAAATGCATACAATTTTTGGGGATTTATATTTGTACTAATCACTAATTTATTTTTGTAAAATATCTAGAACCAAACATTTTTAAAAATATTTCCTGCCATTGTGCATTTAGAGGTTTATTCTTATAATCTGTTTGTTAAAAATAATGTACTTCAATCTTTCCCATTTGGATATGTTATTTTTTATTTTTCCATATATATTCTAACGACTTTTAGTTTGTTTATTATAGTGGTCAAAGCTAATGATAACATTATTCTCCAAATCCACTGAAAAGCCACTTTTTACGGTTATATATTAAAATATAAATATTGCCAAAGTAGGCCTACACGATATATCTGTGATCGGGGATACATATGATGCACTGCTTAAATATCTAAGTTTGTTGTATTTAAAATATAGTACGGTTTGAAAAATAATAAAAACAGCATTACATTCAGTTTTCTTACCGTTGTAGGAGTGGAAGTAGTTTCTGATTGTGCAGCTTCTTGTTGACTCTTCAGCTCGGCTTTCCGCTCCTTCAGAGCCTTGAGCAGTTTCCACTTGCTACCCATGGGGCCGTCCTTCCCCGGAGGTTCGTCCTTTGCCGACACCGCGGGGTCTCCCTCTGACTTGAACCTCGGCAACGACGGCGTCCCCGGTCTATCGGAACTCACATCACTCGCTGCCACACTCACCGAGCCCTCCCTCACTGTCGCCGTCTCCTCTGTGTCCCATCCCTCGGGTATGCTGACAGACATCTCACTCGGCCCTACACTCAGCGACCCCTCCCTACTACCCGACCCTGACCCTCGCTGCTCACTTTGTCGGACAGCGCTGCTGCTGGAACACCTCCTCATCATCTCCAACTCAGCAGCAACTGCTTTGGCTTCATCTACTTCCAATTCCTCTGCACTGTGCTGAGGACTGTCCGGTCCACTAGTTTCTCCAGAAGACCCGCCATGTGTTTCTTCGTATTTGTCATCGTCGCCGATAGACTTTGGCCTGTCTCGAACTCGTTCCTCTTTCATTCGTTCATTTCTCAGACGTTCGTCTCTTTGAAGCTCATCAAGTTCACTTCTGTGAAACTCCTCTTCGCTGTACCGGTCGTCGTAACCGTAAGCATTTTTGTGGCCATAATCGTCTCGTATGCTTTCATTGAATTTCCGTCTTTCTTTATCTCTGAAACTGCCTCTCCTATCGTCGACCGTTTCCCTTCTGAATTCCTTTTCGTTAAACTCTTGGCTCAGCCTCCTCGGTTCCATAGCTATTCTCTCGTAGCTTTCTCTCCGTGTTTCTCTGTCGTATCTGTCTCCAGGCCTATCATCTATTCGTTCATAGCTACTTCTCCTTACAGCCTCGATACTTCCCCTCCTGCCATCTTTCGAACCTCTACGACTTCCTGGGATGTCCTCATCGTTTTGTCTTACTTTTGATCGCAGCTCCTGCAAAACAGAAGACATTCGTTCTCTCACGTCGTCCTCGGGTTCGTAATCCTCCTGAAGATGTTGAAGTTCAGCTTCCAGTTTAGACTGGCGCTCGAGTTCTTCTAGTTTTCTTAATTCGTAACAGTACCATTCATCCTCGCTGTCTATACTATCTTCGGTACTCTGCCTTCTTGAGGAGACACGAGATGTGCTTCTCCAGGAGTGCGTACTTCTGTTGTCATCGTCAGTATCACCTGAGCCTCTACCACCCCAGGGGATTTCGAGACTAGCTTGATGTCTCGGTGGAGGATAAGGACGACCGTGTCGGTTTATATTAGTACTGGCGTCATTTAAATATTGCTCTTCGCTATTCAATTGAGCCTGCTTATTATTCTCTTCAGAACTAATCCGTTCAAATATTTCATTTCTTCTAAGTTCTTCCTCTTCTTCGTCAGTCGTTATTACAGTAAATATTTCGTCACGGGTTTTTGGTGGAGGAGGCTCTTCCGTCACCGGCGTTTCTTCTAATTGAGTCGAAGACTGCCTCCGCCTATACCTACCTAAAGCTCTAGACACAGCAAACTCTCGCGACGCACTGCCTAACGTAACAGGAGGGAGTGACATTTCGTCCCCATTTTGGTCTCCGTTGTCATTTTGTGACTGAGGTTTTTTAACGTCTCCTACTGTAGGAAACAAAGAAGATGCCCCAAAAGGATCTTCAAAGAGGTCTATTGTATTTGACGGCTTGTCGTCTCTCTCAGGTATATAATCTCGCGCATCAAGCCTTTGATCTACCCCCCTTTGGTCGTTATTTTGGAATTCAATTTGGTGTTCTTGTATAGAGCCTGACCTCTGATAGACTCTTTGCTCTTGTCTTTGATCCACAAACTGTTGATCTGGTCTATGTTCCATTCTTTGCTCTAATACTCTATGATCTCCTACGATGTCATGTCTTGCTTCAGGCTTATATCTTTCATCAGCTTCCACTGTTGATGTTTCAGAATAATCAGGCTGACATTGAGAGGATTGGTATGCATTGTTGGCATTCGCATTTAAATTTGACACTTGACTTTCATTCGACCTTTTTGTAAATAAGGAATTATCGTGGGCGTCAGAAAATACACTGTCCGGTTCACTGTCCTCACTGACACCACTATGGCGACTACTCCATTCTGTCTCAGAATGTTCTGGATCCGACATACTTTGCTGTAAACGTGTTTTATTCTTTGCTTTTTGTAAAAACCCTGACATTGTGGAAACTAACTGATTCTTCTTCTTTTTACGACTTGAAGGTGGCTGTTTGCTGCGGAGTGATTGCGTAAATTGTTTAGTTGGCTCCTTTGTTAATGCTAAATCTTCTCTGCGTACTCCAGTCGGTAACGAATATGAACGGTGGCGCTTTGATAAGTGTAGTTCTGGCAGCCAGTTACTTACTGAGCTCATAGCAGATTTTAATCCTCCTTTTTTAGACTTTTTACTTTTTTCTTCTTGAGGCTCTTTAAGGTCTGACGCTATACTTATATACCCTGACTGTGACACTATGACGCTACTTGGATCATAATACCCCATATCACTAGGTTGGTTAATCACGTCTGTTGCTCCTTTGCTCCTGATGTCCATATCACTGTATGCCATATCTCTTCTAAAATGTGGACGAGGAGTTCCATAATATCGTGGATCATATGCTCGCGGATCATACGCATCGACACTCGTAGCCGAACGGATCGTACTTGAAGTTTGGTCTCGGACCATACGAGGTTGCTGTTCAGGAATCCACGCATTATAATCAGGTCTTACTTGATGTCCGTCGTAATTTGCATTGGTTGGGTAATATGTTAAGGCATCTGTTATATTTCCGGTGGGAAACATAGTTCTATACATAGCGGTTCTGTACTCCTCCATGTTTGAAACTCCACCTCCTGACGGAACGGAGCCAGTCGAGTATCCTCGAGTCAAAATTCTCTTGGCAGGTATCGTGGAGGTTATTGGATACGAGCTTATTGACTGGGTTCGATGTTCGTGGCTGGTTCTGTAACTTGAGGAGGAAGAACTGCTGTATTGATCTTGTGACGCATGAGGACCGATAAGATCGGGGTAGCTTGAAACCGTTGTTGTGGGTAAGTAATTAGCGGCCCCACTGGTATAAACTGAAGTAAAGTCTTGTCTATGGCTTCCAGCAACAGAATATATGGCCGGTTGGTCGTTGTAATAATAGTATTCATTTTGTACGGATGAGTTATCGTAATCGTATCTGCAACGTCTTTTTGATGCGGACGACGGTTGTTCGGGAGCGGGTGGTGGTACGAAATTTGAGTTATCAGAATGATTTGATAAAACATCTCCTGGCAATGTTGTAGGTGTTCTAACGGTTGTAAAGGCTGACGTTCTTAAGCCTCCAGGCAGCAAATGGTTATAATTGTTATTTCTATCGTCCCCATAACTGTAGTCAGAAACATCAACATACGTGGTAGGCACCGAGACAGAACATGTTGAGTATGAAGGTGGGTTGATTGGATGCTGTTGGGAGATTCTCCCAATATGTGCGAGATTCTCGGATGCATATGAAATGGGCGTTTTTGAATTCAAACCGTCAGGAGACTTCTCCAAACTCGACCACCCACTCATTGAAGATAGACCAGAATCAGACTTAGCTGTAACAATATGCGTCGATGAAGACTTAACAATTGCATGTTTTGGCGACGATCTAGGAGATTTTGGAGAATGGGGAGTTCTTGGACTTCTCCTACCTTGAACTTCTACTGAAGATCCAGAAGCACCCTGAGAATTAAACATACTGATCGGACTTTTTCTTAACATTCCATCAATATGTTCACTAGGCGTTAAGTAAATACTTGAATCTTTTGGAGCTGGCGGAGGAGGACTACAGGAGTTTTGTTTTAAAGAATCTTCTAAATCCTCTTCGTCTCTAAGAGGTGCGTCAATATAACCGTCTTGCCTGGTCCGTATCAGGGAAGGCGTTGGAGAGCTCACTCTCTCTGACGATAAAGAAAAACTAACTCCATCATTTCTGGCCCCACTTGAAAAAAGTTCTCTTCCGAGTGACGGATCTGCCTGGTATGTTGACTTACTTAACCTATCAGACTTTGGAGAAAGTGGGAGAGATCTATGCGACGAGGCAATGTCATTTAAGGATGAACCGTTCCCTGCTAACCGGCTAGTTGAAGAGTACATTATGCTTGGAGACGTCAAGAACCTTCTAGGAGAGGTCGGTGTAGAAATGAAGCCCGACACATTACTAGGATCATGAGTAGGTTCCTCAACAGCCAGTCTCGGCGACGCTGCTGCCTCGGCGCTGCTCATCATCAACATGTCAGTGATCGCTCTCGTCGTCGTACTGAATCCCCAATCTTCTAGTTCCGTTTCAGCACACATTCTCCTAAGTTGGTCATCTATTTCATTAGTCTTATCCTCTCGTACGTTGATTTCCGAAACGTCAGTAGTATCTTTCGAATACTTATGTTTTGGCGAGTCCGCGAGCAGCCTGTCCTGTAGTTCCCTTAAATTTTGCGAATCTTTTTGAAGCTTGGTCGTTAACCTATCTAATTCTTTTAGTTTTTCCAACGCCACCTGATCTACGGTTGACAGCTGAGATAGCGGTACTAAATCGTGATCGCTCACACAAGGCGAGCTACCCCTGTAATCCTTATAATCTAATGAACTGAACACTTGCGTTGGCTCCGAGGGCGCAGTTACTAAGTCTTTGTTTTCCTCCCGTTTCGTAGTCCCATTGCTGTCCTCCTCCGATTCCTCCCAGATCATTCCCAACTGAGACGAGCCGGAGGCGGCCATGGAACTGCTCGGACAACCTAGATCGTTTCTATAAGCGTTATTCAAACTCCTATAAAACGACTCGTCAGGAAGACTGAGCGCCTCCCCGTCGGCTCCGATTTGGAGCTTGAGTTCTGAAATAAACTGCGTGGCCGACGTGGACAACGCCATGTCAGTGTTCAACAGACCAATCTCGTCCACGGAACTGATACCCTGAATGATGCGCGGCCTATCGAGCAAGTCCATTTCGGTCTCGTTCGGTTCGACGGAGGAGTAGAATTCGATCAACTGTGAAATTACACTCTGTTGTTCGTAAAGTAGCACCTCTAGTTTCTCGAGTCGCTCCCACATCTTGATATACTCCTGGGAAAGCAGGTCAAGTGCTCGCCACGCGTACCTCAGCTCCGTCTCCAGCACCCCCAGTCGCGTCCCCAGCCGCTCCATGTAGTTCTCTATCACTATGTCCGCGTTTTGCCCCGAGGGCGGTGGCGTCCTCGCGGGCGACTCCGGCGCCGAACTACTTTTCACTTCCTCCATTGTTTACTCGGTACAAAAATAAATCTAACTCTGACTATGGTGTGCGACGTTCACGTCATGTGGCTGGTGGGCGAGGCCTGGTGCGAGCTCTGGGCGGCGACCAGGACATCCTTCTGTGGCGTTCTTCCCTCAGCATCTCCGTCCGCCACTCCTGCAAACATCGTCTAAGTCAGCAACAAGCCACAAGCAGCACTGTGGGTGAAAAAGTGCCACGGTTTGAGCGAATTTATACTATTTATGAGTAACTTCAGTTAACATATTAAAACTTAACAATACCTTACCGTAGTTACTTACTTGGGTTACATGTCATCAGTGTGCTGCTTGCAATATAATGTGTAAATTATATTTGAATTGAAGGTTATGGTATGAAGTTACCTTCCTACCAGACTAAAAAAACAAGTGATCACTGAATTTGAATCATAAAACTAGTAGAATTTACATAATGATTTTGAAAAAAAAAAGGTTGTATGCTATTCATCAATAAATCATAAGAAAAATTATAACGGCTGGGTTCCTAGTAGTATTAGTTATCGTTTAGTAATAGTAATTAGGAAGTCTCTCATCGATTAGTTAGTATTCTTTATAATTAGAGACGTTTCTCAACCTAACTTTGGTTATAACTAATTAGCTAGGCTGCAAATAAATATATTTTCTAACCTTAAGGTTTCCAAACATAAAAAAATTGATTGCATAAAATAACCAGCATTATAAATATAAATATAAACTAAACTGCCTTTTAAAATCACAGCTAACACTTTTGCCTTTCATTAACCCTGAGCAATTGATCGTAATAGTCCAATTACGAAAGTTAGCACGATATATTCAATTGTATAATTAGAATATATCTTACTAATACGTTGTTGTATTAATAGTCAAAGCTAATACTCTATTACGTTGTTACATAAATTGTTAACTTCAAACTCAGCGATGTTTCGTCAAATTTACATAGTTGGCAACAAAACTCAACTACAAGAAGAACTAAGAACTAAACACAGTACTGACCGACTAACATTGTGTTGAAGTGCAATGTGTAGTAACAAATGGCTGGGGTTATTTCAACGGTTGCCGGTGAATAGACTCGCCGCCTTGGTGAAGCTAATCGATTGATTCAGACTTGTTGATGTGCCCGAGCAGTGTCGTAACTTTGGGTTACCTTATTCATAACGTTACTCAGGGGTTTTCATTCGTAAAGGTAAATTTTTGCCTTATTCTTGTCATACATGAAAAAAATCTCACATAGTAAAGAGTAATACAGATAAAAGTTTCAATATGTAAGGCTCAATTAAAATATGGATTTCGGAAATCTTGGAGGAAGTTTAACCCTCTCCCTCCCACCGATTTGCTTTGATATAAAATATGTTTGCATGCGCGATTAATTGAAGAACTTTGGCCCAATGCTTGCTCGTGAGAGCAATTTCAACCGTGTTTGTCATAATTTCAAAAAAATTGACAAATAACATATTTTTTAGCTTACAAATGTTTATGGACTTAACACTAATAACATTTCAAACTCTATTGATCTAAAACGTACCTATTTCTTAATGTCAACCAACATAATAGATTCATTACGATACGAGATAATCTAATTTTAGAAGTAGCAATATTTCATTCTCGGCATAATGCTGCAAAAACAGCCGTTTTAATACATGCGTGGTGGGTCTTAATCCCTTGGGAGTAAAAAGGTTTTTTAGTACCTAGGGAGTAAAAATCAGCTGTTGCAAACTAAGACTGTTTAAATCGCAGGAATCGAAATTATTTACCGATTGATTTGATTGGTTGTAGCCTATTGTTGCAATATTCTCAATAGTCGACATATCAATAGCATAATGCACAGTAAGACAATCGTAATAGACGAAATTATCGAATCACTTACTAAACAGCTGCTTATTTGGATAAGCAAAATTGAAAATAAGCTACTTGAGTAAAGAGCGAAAAGAGTCACTTGACGCCCTAGTGATGAAATATACTATCTGGATAATGAAGCTAGCTGTCATACCATTGCGGAACGGTTGTTGATATTTTATTAAAATAGAGCACAGCCTCTCACAGAGTGCTCTGATGTCAAATTAGATTTTAATCCCTTAGATTTTGGTATTTTAATATTCTATGTGAGATAAAAGATTATATAAGTTTAAAATAATTTATCCTTAATGATCTGTTTACGTATTTACCGGAAACCAGTATGCAGTATCAGTATACTCCCAGGCCCCTGCCCTGATGTGGCTCAGTTCAACGAGTACCCCAATTCTCCTACAAATTGCAACAACTTTAACACAAGATAGGTTAATACTTGTAAATGTAGTCACGAGCCTCTTAAACAGTGTCCACTTTGAATATAAACCTGTTAGCTAGTCTGGTGGAATATCTTGTTCAATATCTAAAGTAAATTGTTTTACCCATTCATCTATCAGATGTTTATATCGACCGTGACAGGACCAAGTGACCAACAGCACCTCAGTGTATATCCCTGGTCTGCCTACAGCGTGCTGATAGTAGGGCTATCAATCAGTCAGGACCCGGGAGAGTGCTGAGCTATCAGCAAACCTCTGATAAATCCCCATATCAGCAACATCACACGCTGTAATTCATAGGGAGACAACTCACGCTGAGTTACACAGCTGCCGTGTGATTTAGCACACAAGAGACGCCAGTTAACTCCTGTGACTAGGGGTTAAAATGTTATATTCCCACCATGAAACTAAACATGCGTTATGCGTACCTTAAGAATCATGTTTCAACACATACATGAGAAAAGAGATCATTTTAATCATTGGTTGAATGTGTACCTAAATAATTCTTACCTATCAGAAAAGTTGGTAACTTGATATACCTTTGTCCGTCATATAAAAGGACATGCAGTAGAGGGCATTAATAAACTGAACCCTAATTGAAATGTTTGACCGATTTATCATATTTCCTTTAAACCTTTATAAATCAAAGGCTTTACAGATCGTAGAGAGAGTCAAAGTAAATTTATTAACTTATTTAAACAATAAAAAAAAAATGAATATCGCAAACCTATCTTTGGATGTTAATAATTAATGCTGTGGTATACACATACAATATCAAATCATCACGACCATTCCAACTAAATACTGTACTCTGTTTGGTATACTACAAAGACATGACTGAACCATATACTGTGAAAGTACACATATATTTGTTAGGTTGGTTTGAATTGCTAAGGAAGGACACATTGTTTGCTACATGTAACTTTACCCCTCCTCAGATACAGAGGTTCAACCCCTCTCTAACCCCCACAGAGCAACAAGTCTAACTCCCAACCCTTTATCGATCTGAAAGCGGTCAGAGCCTAAATTATACTCTGCAAGTTGTAATCTCAACCTCTTTGTAACGCCACTTTTCAAACAATGTCATACACATATAAACTGGCAAGTAGAGAAATTCAATTTTCCATAAATCACCTTTTTTCTAAATTTGTTCAATTATATTTTTACACTAAAATTATAAAAAATAATAACTTTGGTTAAATGACACGACTATAATAGCTGTGTTGCCGATGGGTACAGTTGCCGTTTCGGTCCCGAGAAAAGTTAATACAAATAATTTTTATGTAAAATAAAACCCAGCTGTCTCTGACAATCGAGTTTATACTGATATAAATCATGTGTTGTTGCTAGCCTAGAGACTATTGGACTTCAGTACGAGAAGGACTGGTCCGATCCCCGACTTATTCTCAAACGACGAACCGATTGCACAAATTCCGTCATATGTGAAATCTTGGCATATTTCCATAAATCTAAATAACACAATAAATTCGGTCGGAGGAGAACGTTCTCTCTCATGGTGGGGTGGAAAACGTCCTCCAATAAAATATATAAGATATTTTGTATCAAATAAAAAATAAAACACTTGTTTGTGTCATAACAACCATACAAAAAGTAAAAAAAAGAAGAGTATGAAGCAACCCTGAATATATTGTAAAAGTACGAGTAATTAATTGGTACAATTAATTGTCACACTATTAGTAGTTTTTTTTTTAATTAAATTAAATAATATCTTAGTAAGTTTGAACTTGTGGACCTAAGTACTAATTACATCTAGAACTCAGTAGCAAAGGAAAAAGTGAACGTTTACGGAAAAAGGAAGAAAATTAGCTGAGCGCCAGGCCCGAATGTCACCTCCGTAGGGACTTGTTTTCAAACATCCCGACATTCTGAGGACTCGAGTGCTCTAAACCCGTGATAAATTGGCTGTCAAAACTCTCAGTTATTGGATTTTCCAGTCGTAATAGTTTCCATCATAAACTGTCGATTTATCTGTTGAAGCGTGTTAGAAATAGTTAAACTGTTTGTCAATAAGTGTAGCTAACTATTGTAAGTGGTATCTTCTGTCCACGATGCATTGAGTGCCATCAAGGGTTTTACAGTTTGAATTAATAAATACATGAATTCAAATTTTGGTGTAAAGCTAGTGTTTCTCTGACACATTAGGATTCCAGAACAAACATCGTTAACTACTTAAAAGTTTCATTAAACAGTATGATTATCTAATCCATAAACTTTACGATTTTTTTACGCTAGCCCGAAACTGTTTAACACATTGCTTCAGGATAAACTTAACGATTACTATAACCGATTTTAGGCCTTCGCGTAGGCCTAAGCTACTGTGCATTATGGGCCCAAGAAAAGAGTAAATACAAGTAACCTAAGAGGTTTTATCCATCGCCTAAAATAATTACGAAATATACTTACAAAGTTGCTCAAAATGTTTAGTTAGTCTAATATAACTGTGGGAAGCATCCCACAACAGCGTGTCCCGCGCTGGGTAATCTCATCTTCGATAGAGGGTCACTCGTAAAGGTTAAGCCAGGAGACCAGCGTTGCTATGCTATTGCATGGCAACGCTGGTGGCGCTGCCTACGGATTGACAGGCAAAGCTCTCTCAAACCGCTTAATGCTTTTTACCATGCGGTTGGCATTCTGGGTTATAGTAGTACGTTTTCTGTGGCCATGATCACAGATAGACTCTTTGTGTCATGCACGATCTATTTAATTTTAAATATAGTCTATAATTTGTAAGATCAGAGATAGTCTTTAATTTTTTAGCGAATTTCCCTATAGGGAAGTAGCTATTACCGTAGGTCTCATGGTAAGACCTGGGCGCAGGACCGATTTACTTTTTCATTTT